TCTGACGGCTGGCCTAAAGGCGGTGACACAAAAGGCTGTTAACTTTGATCAACTCCAGGAAGTCGTCCAGGAGAAGAATGAAACCCCTCGGCCTTCCTGGATGGACTAACAAGGCTCTCTTCAGTGCACTAACACGGACCCTGAATCCCCAGATGGGAGGCAGCATCTTATGACCTGTTTTTTCTCACAAAGCTACCCTGAAATATGGGCAAAGCTAAAAGCAATTAGAGAGGGGACCCTTGACTCCTGAGATGGAGATGGTGGCCACGGCCTTCAAGGCCTATCACCACAGAGATGAAAGAGCAAAACGCCAAAAATACCAGATGTTGTCCCAGGGGTCACAGGGCTCCTTCCACCTTTTGGAAGTGGGACACAACAACCCCCACAACGAGGAACCCCTGGGCCCTGCTTTAAGTGTGGCAATGAAGGACACTGGGCTACGGCTTGCTCTAACCCAGGCCACTGCCCAGACCGTGCCCCAGAGGCCGACATCTTGGCCACTGGGGATCAGACTGCCCCAATTCCCAGAGGGGAGCTGAAGTCAGTTCCTCACCAGTGACTTGCTGGGCCTAGCAGCCAAGGATTCACTGGGCCCTGGGTCTTCTATCCCGACCTACTCAATCACCAAGCAGGAACCCAGGGTGGTCATCTGAGTGGATGGGCGTCCCATAAACATTTTGGGGGCCACGGTCTCAGTTATGAGAGAGTTTTGAGGAACTACCTATCCCCCCAAATCTCTGATTGTTGGGGTAGGGGGTCAAATCATCATCCCACACAGAACTCCTCAGCTTCTCCTTTTCACACCATTTTTAGGTTATGCCTCAGTGTCTGGTCCCCTTGCTGGGAAGGGATATATCATCCATCTTGAAGGCCTCCAAAACCTTACCCTTATTGTCCTCCCCGACTCATATCTTAGTCAAGGCTTTACTCTTTGATGAAGAAGAGACTTAACTTCTTTGTGTCTGGTGTGGAGACCCCAATGACCACCAGAACACACAGTTTCCCCTCCCCTGTAAAATGGTAGATCCAATTGTGTGGGACACTGAAACCCCGTTCTCGGCAAATTGCTCTCCTGGGGAAGTGCATCTTAAAGACCCTAACCACTTCCCAACCAGGCCCAATACCCACTGCCTACTGCCACTCTTAAGGGCCTAAAGCCAATCATTCAGAGCTTATGAAGAAACAGTTCCTCCTTCCCACACACTCTCCATTCAATACCCCAATTTTAGCAGTAAAAAAGCCTAACAGAACACACCATTTGGCACAGGAATTGAGAGTAATCAATTGTTCAACCAGCCCTATACAACGCCTGGTTCCAAACCCCTCTACTATCCTTTCCTCCATTCCTGCAAACTCCATCTGTTTTTCAGTTACTGATCTTAAAGATGCCTTCTTTTCAATTCCACCTTCCGTCTCTTCCCAAGACATATTTGCCTTCACCTGGACTGATCCAGAAACTAGGCATTGCCGACAGTTAACCTGCACTGTCCTGCCCCAGGGGTTTCGAGACAGCCCACCTAATTTTGGACAAGTCCTCGCTGGAGATCATGAGGATTTTTTCCCTCTATGCCCCGAATCAACCCTCCTGCAATATGTTGATGACCTCCTCCTCCGAAGTCCCTCATTAAAAACCTCAAAGTCTGTCACAGCCACCCTCCTGAACTTTCTTGTGGATATAGGGTTTCTCCACAAAAGGGGCAGCGCTCTCTCTCTCTCTCTCTCTCTCTCTCTATCTATCTATCTATCTATCTCTATCTCTATCTCTATCTCTATCTCTATCTCGTTATTTACTTAGGGTTCCACATTTCCCCTGGGAAGAAAGCTATGACATCCAACAGAAAAGGTCACACTGCAGCTGAGCGGCATATGTCTTTCTCAGCAACAGGCCCTTTAGGCCAAGTTTGGGGGAAGGACTTACAGACTGGTCAGTGGAAAGGACCAGATCAGTGATTATGTAGGGCAGAGGTCATGCTTGTATTTTTCCAGAAGGTGCTTTTCGTCCTATTTGGGTACCTGAAGGCACCATCAGGCATGGAGGGACCTATGGAAATTGACGATATGAGCCACACAAATGATCCAACTCCAAGGGAGAGCTAAAACTCCAATGATGAGGCTTGCTGCACGAATAGCCCCGTTAGGCTGTCAGGTAAAAGGAAAGCAGGGAGAAACCTACTGGACCTGTTTTCCAGATCCACCTCTAGTACACCCAGCAGTGGACTGGAGAGTCCATCCCAGTATTTACTCATGACTCATATATGATGGGGGGATTCACAGACACTCATATTACCCCCAATCATGTGACTGGATTTAATTATTCTGACTATACGCCCACCTACCCTTGTGTTGGTCCCACTATAAACATGCTGGCTGTCTAAAAGTGTCATTTGAGGAAAAGACAGCAGTTAGGAGACCCAGATCAAATAATCCTACTGTTAATGAAGACCCAAAACTTTATATTAAATCAGTTATTAAAATGGGACATTCTCAAAACGAACCAGCCATCTCAGCAGAATGTCCACGAATATCTCATTGTCCAAATCAGTCTGCAGTAGATATTGGCACCTTTACTAAGTGGATACATTGTATAATACCTTTCCACTACAACATAAGGTGTCTAGAAAGAGTGGGTCTCATTTGGATGGGTCTCCTAAAACTGACAAAAGGCAGTTACACAAGAGGACTGCCATGACTCCTGGAGGATTTGTTAGCAACATCCTGAACTTCAGCGAAGGTGGCATTCAGAAAGATGTTTGTCGCTTAATTGCTGCCTCAGAATTCTTACATTTTATGGACAAACCTTTACCAGAATTTGTAGGCAAGAACTGTAAACAAGGTTCTGGTTATGGTTTATGAGCCTGTGTTCAATCTCCTTGTGTTTTAATTTCTGGAAATGTAAAAGTTCAATGGAAAGATGAAAGATGTCTTGTAACATGTAGGAAATGTAATTTAATAGAAGAAAAGGGATGCTGACACTCCATCAGCCCTCCTTTGTCTTACTACCAGGTAAGATATCAGAGCCGGGGTACACTGATGCTGATTTTCAAGTCTTACAACAAATACACGCCCAGTGAGCAAGACCTAAACTCCCTCTTGGGCTCATAATAGCGGGAGTTGTTGCCTTGGTTTCTTTTATTACTTCAACAGTCACAGCTTCGGTGACTATATCTCAAAATATTCAACATGCAAACTTTCTTAATAATTGGGCTCTGAATACTCCCAAGGCTACTCATAATCAAATAGATATTGATGAAAAGACTGAGACTAAGCTAAAAGCCTTAGAGGCAACTATCATGAATATAGGTAACTTTCAGCTTTGAAGTTCAAGGAAAGACTTAAATGTCACGCTAGCTGTGAGTATGTGTGTGTCACTGTGGCCAAATACAATGCTTCCCAATGGGATTTGAAGAAGGTTAAAAACCATTTTTGGGTCCTTGGCAAAATAATAACAACAACTTGGATCTTTTGGAGCTCCATCATCATACTCAAGATATACAAGAAAGTAAGGTTGATTTTCGGATCCTACTTCCTTAGTTAATCAAAAATTAAAAGAATTAAATGGCTTTAACCCTGTAAACATTCTTACACTTGGCATGGTATATTCTTGTATTGTTCTCCTGCTGTTAATGCTCTTTTGTATTGTAATTGTACGATGGCCAGCCTTCAAACAAGGATTTGGGGGCTCAAACAAGTGAACCATCACCTGCTTTTTTCAAATAAAAAAGGGGAAATATGTGGGAGGCTGTCACAGCATGTGACCTGCATTTTTCATTCCTGATTGGTGAGGCCCTGTTGGTCACTTCCCATGATCTGGCCACATCAAAGTGGCCATAGACCAAGACCCTGATCTTGAAAGTCGTATAAACGTCACAAAATGTGTCTTCCTACATCCCCAGGGATTGAGTTACCATACCTGTCCTTGTAACCTGCCTCTCTTCATCTTTATTGGATGGAAATTTCTAAGAGAGTCTCCCAAATAGAGGACCACTCCTGAACCTGCTCGCCGTCTCTCTCGCCAGCCTCTTGTGACATTCCTTCCTGTCCCATTTAGGGAGGTAAAGTCAAGGGGTAGAGGAGCCTTCCCGGGACTTGAATTAAAGGTAAATTGTGTGTCTGTGGTTTATTTGATACCTTAGGAAATTCACTCCAGCGACCCTTAGTTTAGTTGCCCATGCTTGTTGGGTGTGGCAGCTCCATTTTTTAAATTACTCTTCCTTCCTTTAGATCAGAATTTCGGATCACAAGAACTATTTGAGCTCAGGAGGTGATAGACATGGACCCCCATGTGGGGAGCCCCTCTGAATGCCTCGCACCTTCCATCCTGAAGCGACAGGCTCTGACCCATCCCTACATTTCCTAGTGACTTGGGCATTGTCCCAGTTCTAAAAGTTGAGGGCCTGTCTTCAGATGTAGGTGACGTCCCTTGGGTTGAATCACATTCACCTGTCCCTTGTATCCCTGCCCTTCTGGCCTTTTGGGATAGAACTTTCTAAGAACAAGGGTCCCCCCAATACAACCCCACTTCTCAATGTGCTCGCTCTCTCTCTCTCTCGTAACTTCCTGTTGCTCTCCCATTTGGGGAACCTGAGGCTGAGAGTGGAGAAAACGTGGGCGTGATGACTAATTGGAAGATTTGTAACCAGTTCTCTGTGGTGCAGAATCAGAGAGGAAAACAGTTTATATTCCTGGTGACATCAAAAGTTTACTAATTAGGGGCTGGCGTTGTGGCTCAGTGATAGAGCACTTGCCTAGCATGCATGAGGCACTGTTCAAGCCCTGCACAACATTAAAAAAAACTGAATAAACAAAATAAAGGTATTGTGTCCAACTGGAACTAAAAATACCTTTTTCAAAAAGTGCATGAATGATGTTTTATGAATTTGAACCAGGAATAGTGAGAAGCAACAGAGAAATAATTTGATGTGCCAACAAACATCAGTTTTGTACATTTTCCCAAGAGTGGAACATCCTAAAATAGCATTAAAAAGTCTGAACACCCTTACTGTGCCAACTTGGAGCCATCATGAGTGGATCAGAGACGATGTCCATGAGTCTAACACAGCACAGGGTGGTGGACCAAGGCTCTGAGCTTCCTGCCTGGGTCCTGGAAGCACATCCCCTCAACCACTAATCCCTGTATCCTAGGAGCAGATCAATGCTGGCTCACATTCTGTGCCAGGAAACCCTTGTGACATCACAGTGACCTGGGCCAATGAGGAACAAGGTGATGGTCACAATGGCTGCTATCTGTGGAGCATCTGATCTGGGCAGGTCATTTCCTGTGAGCTTTAACATACAGCTTAGTTCTGAGGGAAACTCCATGAAGAAGCAGAAATGACCCAGTTTATAAATAAGGAGCCAAGGTCAGTAAGTTGGACTTCCTGTCATGAGGAAAACATTCAGGATGCAAATGTCAAATTGTCTAGGCAGAAGCTGAGTTCAACAGGATCCACATATGACAACCTAAATTCAGAACTGAGGTAGTGGAGAAGTTCTCGGTGGAGAAGGCTTCAGAACACCTGCATCTAACTCTGACGCTGGACCACAGCCTCAGTGCTCAATAATAGAACCACCATGTGACCCCGCAGTCCCACCACTAGATATGGTCATCCAAAGGAAATGAAGGGGACATCTCAGAGACTTCTGCACTTCCATATCTCTGCAGCATCGACCAGAGTAGGCAGATATGGAATCCACTTAGGTTCTATCCATGGATGGATGGATAAAGAGAATGCAATATGTATACACAGGGGAGTATGGTTCAACAGAAAAAAATGGAAGAACTTCTGTCAATTATGACAGCACAGATGGAAATGGAAGTCCCCAGCGAAGTGAAAGTGAGACAGGAAGACAAATGCTTCATGATCCCTCTCACATGTAGAATCATAAAATGTTAATTCATAGAAATAAAAAAGTGAAATGGTGGTCACAAGGGTCTTATGTGGTTTGTGGAGTTGTGGGGAGAGATGTTGGTCAAAGGATCTGAGGTTCAGCTAGACAGGAGGAAGAGGTCAGGAGACCCACAACCTGGTGACCATAGTTAGCAACGGAATCTTTAACAGTGGTGAGTGGATATCGAGTGTCTCACCACAGAAATAACAACTACAGGAAGTGATGCGCAGGATGATTAGCTGGAGCAGTCACTCCACAGTGCATGTGTTCTTGAAAACATTCTGTTATAGGCCATTATCACAATTTTACTGTGTAGTATCAAAAAAACAAGAAAGTCCACCAGCCAGGACTGGCAGACTCAATGCCAACTGGGAGCTCTTACAAAACCACAACCTCTGGCCACACCAACCTGCCCCGTCACAACCTGCATTTCAACCAGATCCCCAAGTGATTCATATTCTCACTGAAGTTGAAAAGATTCTGGTCTGGAAAAGTGTTTCTCATACTCTCCACTCTCAACCTGCTAGGCCCAGTGCAAATCCAAGTTGTAACAACCCCAACTTCCTCAGCCATTGCCACCCGTCTCCAGGAGCCCTCATCCTGCCTGGTGGAAGACCAGTGCCCTGGAGCAGGAGAATTGGGAGGGCCAGGAGGAAAGCTCATGACACTCAGTTCATCATTGGAGCAGGTCCTGCAGGAAACATTCAGCAAGAACAGAAGCGGACAACATGGACCAACCCAGCCCAGAGCTGAGAGAGCTGAGAGCTGACTCACTCATCTGTCACTGGTTAACATGTTAAAAAGAGAAGCGACTCTCAGATCTGCAGTGCTTAGATCATTGCTGACAACATATAATGGGAACAGAGTCCCATTGGACAAGACTGGGAAAGTGTATCAAGTATTTTCCTTAAAATGAGAACATATCCAGGGAGCTCCCCAGTAGCAGGTTGGGCAAAATGAGTCTCAGGGGTGGGGGATTGTGCAGTGAGCTGAGGGCATTTCTTCCTTTAATTTCAGCCTGGAGTGTATTCAAGCCACTTCCATATTCATCACAAAGGGGAGACTAGGGCTGGGGTAGTGACTCAGTGGTGAGCACATGCCTAACACAAGGCCCTGGGGTCGATCCTCAGCACCACATAAAAATAAATAAACAAAATAAAGGTATTGTGTACAACTAAAAAATAAATATTTAAAAATATTTTTAAAAAAGAGGTGAGACTAATGGGCTGCTTACAAATACTGCCTTGCCACCATCCTTCAGGGGACCACATCTCACACCATCCTCTCTCTTGCTGGGTGGTCATGGAATAACTTTTATTTCACGGGATAAAGTATAAAATTGAAGGGCTTTATTTGCATTTCTTTCCTTACTATAGAGGCTAAACAAATTTTTAGATTGTGAGCCTTTTTCTGTCTTTGGTATTGCAAATTCTTTCCTTTTAGAGAATGGGCATCTTTATATGCTGAGTTCAAAGAAAGAATTGGAAGTGATTTTCACTAAGGTCCTGTTTGCCATGAAGTTCTTTATATATGTTTTGACAGTTTAGGGGGAACAGGTGAGCTTATGAATTTTATGTGGCCAAACCTATGAGTGGGTCCCCTTGCTGACCCCCCCTCCATATCTTTTTATATTTAAAGTTCTTCATGATCCATGGTGATCAAGTCCCTCTTAGACCATTTTGCATCTTATTTCTCATCTGTTTTTCTGAACTATTGCCTTTTGGCCTTTGGGTTGGTTCTATTCTATGAGCATCAATCACCCTCTGACTTTTTGTAGAACGTACTCTATTGCATTCAAGTGAACATCTCATGAGCACATGTTTCATACACAGGAGTTTCGTTACATCTGCAGAGATGTCCCCTCTGCAAGATGGGAATAGGCACCTGGCCTCATGGGCTTCCTGCTGGCAATAGGTGGGAAGATGCAGGTAGCACTCCTGGCCCACGTGCGTGGTGGGATCTCATGAAGGGAGCAGTGGTGATGCTCTAACCTTGGTTGTGACTCACTCCATCGCTCCTGCCATTATGTCCAGTGTCCTAAGTAGAACTCACTTAGGTTTTTACAGGATGAAATTGTACCTTTGAACACCACTTCTTTCACTGCTCCTAAAAAAATATGCTTTTATCATTTTATATCCAGGTCTTTTTCAATCTCAAATTAAACATGATGATGGAATTAAATGATTGTTGTTTTAGTTCTTTTGATGGGAACTTTGTTTTAGATTTTCAATCTATTTCATTAAAAGAAATTGTTTTGAAACCATGTGTTGTTCTGGGCAGAAACTCTAAATTTCCTTAATGTTTCTCTATATAAATTTCCACCTTTGATTTAAAAAAAAAACGAACAGAACAGAGAGAATCTCTTCTTGTTTGGACCTTACTTTATAATGGAAAATGTGGGATACACAAAAATAAATGCCTGTATGTTATAATGTCCCCAGGGATAAATCCTCTGTAGGAAGATGACAGAATGTCAAAAGAGGTGCAGATTTTTATGGAGATCAGTCTGGATCAGGGGCACTCACTCATATATACCAAATTGGGAATGATCCTTTTAACACACCGTTGAACTCATTTTGCAATTCTTTGTTGCAGATTCTATGCTTCTGTGCTTATCAAGGATATAGGGCTGTAATGTTTCCTCTCCTGTATGGTGCTGTCTGCTAAACTGAGACCTTGATACTACAGACCCCTGATCCCAACTAACAGGGAGAAAGGAGGAAGGACCCACTCTGGTCCACAGGATACCTTTGACATCAGAACAATGCATGATTATGCATCCATGAGACACCTCAAGTTGTCAGACTCATAGATACATATAATAGAACAGTGGTGTCAGGGCCTGGAGTAGGGGACATGTGGGCTGTGTGTCCATGGGTGTAAAGTTGTACCTGGGATTAATTTCCAGACACCTGCTGTGCAGCACAGAACCAGCACAATGATTGTAATGGTATAATATCGTGGAGGTGAAAATTCGCTCTTGGGGAAGACCTTAGGGTAAGAGGTCCTGCCAAAGGGAAAAAAAACACAAAACAAGGATCTGGGGACACTCGTGGAGGAGATGGGCACATCTATGACACTGAAGTGGAAAAGGGACACCCAGGGTCACATGTGTCTGAATTTATCCTCTCATCCACATAAAGTATGCGCAGCTCCTCAGGGGTCAGCCACCTCAGTGAAGCTGCCTCCAGCAACAGTCACAAGAGGGCAGGGGAACAAAGGCCCCTCCTGAGGATCTCAGCATCTCCACAGCAGCCAGGAGCAGCTCCCTCCTCAGCATTCGCAGACGGGGCCCCCTGTGCACCCACCAGCTCACACTTGCTGCCCCCAGGGCTCCTTTGAAACATGGATGTGCCAGCCCAGTGCCATCCTCAGGACCCTGCACTGTCACCCTCCCACCAGGCCCAGGCCTATGCAAACCACCTGAGGGCACCCTCCTCTCCTGCAGGCCTCTGCTCAAGGGTCACCTTTCACCTCTCCTACTGGACCCCCATAGGACCAGCACCTCCATCCCCTTCCCCTCTGACCTGTCTGTGTTTGATTGCTATTGATCACAGAGCTCAAAGCCTCAGAGGAAAACAAATTTCAATACTTTGATCTGAGAGAGAGAAGTAAGACTTGTTCCTTCTCCTTGTTCTCTGCAGTTTCTCTTCCTTTGATTTCAGCTTCACCCTGCTGAGCTCTCTGCTCCCTCTGAGATCCGAGCAGTCTTCCTCTCTATCATCTGCTTACTCCCTCAAAGTGACTTTTCAATCCTGGATTAAAGATATTGGAACTTCACTTTCATCTCATGGGATGACATGCATTTCTGAAAACCATTTCTTCTCCCATGATGGATCATATGGTGTAATATTTCTTTTATTGATACTAAACCACACAGTCGTGCATGTTATTCCTGTGGGGGAAATGCATTTGACAGTTAAGACGGCCTGTGTAATAATCCTATACAGGAGGGACTCCCACAGCATGGCTTTGCCCTGTGGGTCCCTCATGCCTCCGCAAGTCCCCATCTCAGCTGCTCTTCCTGATGAGGCAGATTCCAACAGACCAGTGAGCTTCATGGCTGAGCTTTGGCTTTTCTTCTCACCATTGGGATTCTTTTCCCTTGCCCAGCTTGGTGTCCACAGCCTCTACTATAATCACTGGCAAAGCTTATTTTCAAATACATGTCTCCACTTGAAGTCTACGTGGAAAGGAAAACTTAAAAGTTTGGTTACTTTGGCCTCAGAATCAGAGAGGTCTTTAAATATGATGAGAAA